CGAAATCTTGTATTTCTATAAATGATATGTGATCATAGATAGTAAGGTATCTATTTTCAACATTTCACGCTCGAAGTTTTAATACACTAAATAAAAAGCTTGAAATGAAAAACGTTCCAGCTCTTCATCATTTATATTGTTCTGCATTCTTCTTCATGTTTGGAATAAAACGTATGCTATATATATTGCTCATGTGACAACGACTGCCGTAACTGACAGAATCAAGTCGTTTTCGATTCAGTCGGATAATGGTGATCCGGCTGAGATGCCTGTATTAGCTATAGAGCCCGAATTGGCAACAGTTATGAGATAAATTGTTATTATAGATGGCACTACAAAAATTTTTATTCGTAAAGTATATTCTGAAACTGTTTGCTTCTCAATTAATTCGAATTTGAGTAGAAAACACTCTATACAATCTTTATAGCTGGAACTGAAAGTCGTAACCACTATTTCCGATTCTTATGAGTAGAGTAATATACCGACGATAGTGCGAACAAATGTACGACATGGACGATTAATAAAGATAACATTGAACTCAATGTAATTATTTATATTTAGCTACATCGGCGCTATTTCTATTGCCAAAAAAAAATATCACATTATTCAAATGATTTTATTTAATCATAATCTTATGTTCAGACTCACTCTGTAACTCTTAATAATTATTACATCATATCTCTATGTATACACCATTAAACAATCAATCGAACCATTCAATAGTATAATAATAATGATTATTTCTTCTAAAAGCATCTCAAGTCGAACAAACATGCTCGTAAACAATCGTAAATGATCGTTTACTGGCGTATTACATGACTTGGTAATATTGAGCCATGTAATATATTAAAACACGATCGTTTCATAGTGTATACGGATTTCGTACTCTTAGTCCTGGAATACTACTTTTCGGTTAATTTGAATCCTAATGCGTAGATGTTCTTTTCTTGTTATCCTACATAGTCATTCGTACCATACTCACCACATGATCATCTATACCACAGATATAATATGATGGTTCGGACCATAGTTACCATATGGTAACTATATTACAGACAGATAGACATAGATGAATTCCCATTGCTAGGCCCTATCCTTTCAGTTGATGGAATGTAAAGCAGCAAATGATAAAGAATATGAAGAACGATTAGAAATTAAAATTTAACAATTGATAGGAACATAAAATTGATTTGATTCGATCCTACGATAAAAATTTCTATGAATTAGTTTTCTAGCAATAAGAGCAATATCTTTTCAAAAATGACACTTTTGTTTATTAAAAAATAAATTCATAATTTCCTGCATTTTGTTCTGCTCTTAGTATGCCATTGTCGTGCTTCTAATTCCGTACATATGGATTATTAATATACTATGAAATAAAATTGTTCTTTTGTTAAAGAAATACAAAGTTTGTAATGCGAACATTTCATTATAAACCAATATTTTGTTTTTCTTGTCCAAAATGTGTAGCTATATAATAATTTTCGTTAATAGAAATTATCCTGAGAAAAAAAACAAAATGTTTTGTATATTTCTTATTTGGTTGATATAGTGTTTTTTCAGAAGAATGTTACGTTTTTATTGAAGAAGTAAATTTATTTAGAAATGAATTAACAACAATGGTATCATTAGCAAAAAGACGAGGAAAACTATTTCAATCAATTGACTTGACTATTCTTCATGCATAAAATTAATTTGTTAAAAGGACAATTATACTCGAAGCATAATGTCTATATTTTTAGTCATGACCGATTTAAAGAGGAATAGGCAAATGAACAATTACTCTACTCCATTCAAGCATTTTTTTCGCTGCCGTAAATACTAATGAGAATTCAAACAATGATTTAATTGAAGATTTTTATTTTCCGGCAAGTGTTTTCGCAGATAAAGATGATTGCTAGTTTCAAACGGATAGAGTCTTTGAAAAATCAAACTTTTCAGCTTCTAGTATTCGCCAATAGAAGTCTATTTCAATTACTTAAAACGATAGTGCAAGCGATTCTCTACAAAATGAAACCACCTCTAGCTATCTACTACGTATTTTGACCGAGATATATCAACTTAATAGAACGTATAAAAGTCATTTTTCTGTGATTTCATCTGAAAACACTATTTTTATGCCTTCCGTAAAATTGATGTATCTGGGTCAAAAAATATTATAGATAGCTGGAAGACTTTTTATTTTGCAGGAAATTGTTTGCTCTATCGTTTTGGGTAATTGAAAAAAGAATTCTATTGACAAATTCCAGAAGCTGAAAGGCTTGATTTTTCCGAGACTATATCCTTGAGAAACTAGCAATCAGTCTTCATCTTTGAAAACTCTTGTCGGAAAATAAAATTCTTTATTCAAATTACTATTTGGATTTTTATTAGTATTTAGAGCATAATGAAAAAATATTGATAATAAACTTGATTGAATAATTTTGAAAGTCACAAAAGGACAAACATGTTTGTTGTTTAATGAAAATTATTATCTTTGTAGTTGCATTTGCAATATTACAATATATTGATGATGTGAAAATGATTCGTAGACATCAGATAAATCATTGACAAAGATTAGTATCACAATTTAGTAAAAAAAAAAAAAGAATGTGACAATATCTGTAGTTAGTATCTTATGATTTATTGAATTATGTTCTTATTTCTATTACAGTGAGTGTGGTGTCTAATAATATTTTGTAGTTTGTTTTTTTTTGTGAATACAGTTGAATAGAAATGAGTCGAAATTATAGGAAAATTAATTAATTAGTCTTAATTTTTTAACAAAGTATGATGAAATTATTTTATTGATTTTTTTTTGTGCATAAATAATTATTTTTTAATGATGGCTAGTGCAAATTATAATTATTCCTTCAAGGTAGCAATTATTTTCTGCTACGCATTAATATGTGTAGTTTTCTTTTTCAGTTTCAGTCAGCCATAAATTTTTATGGTATGTATCAAATTAGTTGAAAGAAAAAATGGCGAAAAAACATGTCGATCGTATCAAAATGACGAAAAAACGTGTCGATCGTATCAAAATGACGAAAAAATATATATACTTCTAAGAAAATGTCGAAAATGTTCTTGATGTTATTCAGTGGTATGGATCTTTTCTCCATTCACACCTTTAAATATTTTTTATACACTAGTATTTCTTGTTAGTGTACGTTATACATTCTCACTTTTTTTGTACACAATAAAATATCCTGATCTTACTAGTCGAGAATCTCAAGATAAACTTTTTTCCAACATCTTCATATGATTGATACTTTTTTTCTTTCAACGAAATCAATGCCATTCGTTTTTATTAGTTATTAAATAGTAAAAAAAAGGATTTATTATTTGATTATATTATTTTTACACGAGAAAATTATTCGATAGAACTTATCTTTTTCTAATTTTTGAACTAGAAAAATTTACAAGAATTTATTGAAAAAAATTATATAATGATATATATTTCATATGAAATATTTACTGTAATTTGTCTTATTAATCAAAAGAACTTTATGTATGTTTTAAAAGAAAAGTACACAAACAATTTCTGTCGATTGTTCAGTAGTTTACAGAATGATTCGTTTTACTTGATCATTTATCATATTCATATTTATTTGAATATTCGTATCACTAAAAGTTTTTTTTTTTTTCATAGTTTCTGCAATTCATAATACATAAGAATCGTTTCTTATATAATTAAGGGAGTATTATGCATGATTTTTGACATGACAATGAATATGAATACAAAGGTGAACAATGATTTATTATAGGAGTAGTAAAACTCCTATATGTATGATAATTTATTATAATTAATCCATTTATAAAATGCATTTTATTGAATATAGAGAGTAAAAATCAGTTATTTCGAGACATAATCTATTGATGTAATTGTTTCTAATTGAAATATCTCTTTTAATGTCTAATAAAATGATAGGAAAATTTAAAAAATATGACTTCAATATCATACTATTAATAGTTGTCATTGACTTGCTCATACATTGAAATAATCAATTAATTGTGCATTCATGAAATAGTAATTTATATCACGTGTTTCGGTCTGTCCTTGTACAAATCGTATCGAAGTACAGATGAATGACTTGCGAACAAGGCGAGTCGCGTGTTGCTGACTAACCTTCTATTCAGAATTAAACTTAACCACCATTTGAAATGATTCACTTCAGAAATTTCTTCTGTGAATAACAATGAAAAAAAATAGCGTATGAACGAAGATGAGTATCTTTTATAGTCCTATTTTTATACACTTTACATGAATCTTTTGCTTTCAACTCTTTCTGATAATGTTTTATTTTCTTTTTTTGTGTTCGAGCTTGATAATAGTTATATAATAAAACTATGATTAATAATGAATTATCTAGCGTTTAATTTTATGAAGGCTAGAAAAAAAAACAACTATACACGATTCCTATTTCTTGATATGTACATATATATCTCAATGAATTATGCACTACAATAAAAAACGATATAATATAAGAGAGAAAAAGAAATAGACAAATACATTGATGAAAAAACGAAGGACGATCTGTCATATTGATTTATATCCCTCAATAAATGAAGAGGAAAATATGAGAATAAATCTTTGTTGATTCATCTTATAAATGGTCCATTAGAAAAATGAATGACACATCAACATAAAAAATTATTTGTTTTGTTCTGCATTTATATGTCTATTAGACTTACCTTGGACATTGTCAAAGTCAGATAAAAGCAACAGACAAATAGTCTATTGAATATCATACGGTAGATATTTTATAGTAGTTTTTAAAATAAAAAAAAAAGAAAGACAGTTATAATATACGTTTTTTTACCGTTACGCTTGAGAAAACTACCAGCTTCTAACCTTCTTTTTTCTCTCGTTTTAGTAAAAGACGGCTATTGTATGTCAAGGCTAACTTATATATTTTAATACGTATAAAAATCAAGTAAATAATAATTACTACGATTCATCATTGAAATAAAAATAAGATATTTTCCTTCATATTTTGCATTGACATTATATAGAAATAATGGTAAAGCAATTGGAAAATGAACATAATACAACGTCTCCTCCATTGCTTGTTGCTGCTCATTGTTCAACAATACGACGCAAGGCCAATCGTATCGATGAACAAGAATTAACAGCTATGTTAAATGATCTTTTTCGTGAATTATATTTTAACAGTATAAATCCTACAATATATTTAAAGTCTTTATATGAAGTACTTCATGCATTAAATTCTACTTCAATATCTTCATTAATATCTCTACATTCACATACATTTTTTCTTCTCATACGTAATACAATACAAACTCTTTTACAAAAATTATATACAACATATCAATTAAATGATCAAGAAATATCTGTTTTACGTAATTGTATTTTATTACTTGAAAATTTAGTTGAAGATATTGATGATGTGTCAAAAATTTTACCTTGGATAACTGATAAAGCATTTATTGATGCATCAGCAATATGTTTATATCAAATAAATAAAATATTAAATATGAACAATAGTCACCGTGTAATAAAACTAGTAGTACATTTAATAAATATGTTTGCACGTATACAAGAATGTTTATCATGGGATTTACATCAAAGTTTGTTTGTTCGTTTACTTCAACCAACTATTGATTGTTTAACATCGACTACTTATGTACAATTATTTAAAGATTTAAAACCAGATTCAACTTCGTTAACAGAACTACAAAAATTATTTCTTATTAAATGTCCTTACTTTCTTGAAACTTATAATGGTAGAAAAAAATTTTTTTTTTTTTTCTCTTTTTAATAGTATGAGTATTTTCTTTTCTACAGGTCCACATATGGAAAAAAGTATAGAACAAGTTTTAAAAACAATGTTACCACGTTATGTATCGATACTTGATAAAAATATAAAACAAATTAAAAAATGGCATGGTCCAATGATGCGTTCGATTCGTCATCTTCTTACAACTCTTATTTTTGCTGAAGGTTATTTTACAGTATATTTAAGTAATGGATCACTTGGATCACTTATTAATCATCTTTTATATCTTATTAGTGAACCTACATTAATTAAAAAACTACATAATACTCCAGAAAATCAAGAAACATTATTAATTGATGCAGCACTTCGTGTTTTTAGTGTATTAATTTATGAACCTGATGCTCTTGATTATATTAAAATTTGTAAATCGGCGAGAATATTTCGAGCATTAACATCAATATCTTCTGAAAGTATTGTTTTGAATGCTTATATGATGCTTGCTAGTACAATTGATAAAAATGATATCAAAGAATTAAATATTGATTTATCTCAATTGACTTTTAATATTCTTAATTTATTATATAATGCAGTTGAATCTCAGAATAAAACTAATCTTAATGATCAAGTGAATACGGGAAATATCAATCGAAATATAATACAACTTGCTCAAATATTAAAAAGTAATTAACAAAAAAAACAAAACATATTTAATAACTTTGTTTTATTTTTTCATTCGAATACTATTTTAATTCAAAGGTTTGATACAATATGAACAAGTTAAAAATGAAATATTAAAACAAAATGCATTAAGATTTTTAATTCAATGTAGTCAAAAATTTACTGGATTAACAAAAGAATTTTTTCTTGAATGTCTATGGAAATTATCAAGTAATGAACAAGTAGTTCAAGAAATGTCTCAAAATTCAAAATTTATTTTGTCATTAAAAGATATTCCAAAACCTATTATTAGTGATACTCAAGAAAATAATAGTCTTCTTCATTCTCATAGTTTTAATCGTCGTCGTCGAAATAATACTGTAATTTCATCTGATGATATAGCAAATAATGAAATATATAAAATGGCTAATAGACTTCTTCAAAATCTTGTAAATGGTATAAATGAAATGTAAATTTCTATTGAAAAATTGTACTATTTTTGTTTTTTCATTATATAGAATCTAAATTTCAAGAAAATGAACAAAAATCAAATGGAGAATTAAAACATATTAATGATGGAAAAATATCTAAATATCATATTATGATTTCATATTGTTATGATGATAAAGATATGGCTTATAAAATTCAAGAATTTCTTGCTAATGAAGGTTATAACATTTGGTTCAAACGTGATAATCCTCATGAGCAAAGTAAATCGATAAAATTTTGTTTGTTTTTGTGAAACACAATCTATCAGAAGTGTTGAAATATAGGAGTAAAAAGCTGCCTTACACTTCTAGAGAAGAATGTACAACATATCCACATGAAATTTTTACCAAAGATAGATCACCTAAAATGAGAAGACATGTGTTGAAGAAATAAATTTTCGACAATATTTCCGCTTGTTTTTTTTTGGATAAAATGGTTTTCCATAAGAGTACATCAAGCTTGCTTTCGGATCGAGCTAAAATTTTGCCGACAGATACTTGAAAGTATTTTCCAGAGGTGTAATCAGTCGTTTTCATTTCTGACTTTCCTATCCGGATCTATAGAGCTCTGAATGTCAGCACTCTGGTTTAGGGTCCGAACAGTTACATATTTCTCTCATAATCAGTTATACCCTTAAATTCAACTAGAATTTTAATCTTATATTTTAGCTACTGACATCCAAACTGAAGTAATAGATAATTCCACATTAATTGTTCTTTGTATATCAAATTCATATAAACGAGATAATCAATGTCAAAATGTAGCAGAATATGCATTTAATTCTAAACGACCTATTCTTCCATTAATTGTACGTGCAGGATATACAAATGATGGATGGTTAACTACTATAATCAACAAACATAGACCTATTGATTTTGCTACATCTGATTTCAAGATGGCTTCTTCATTACTTATTCAAGACATTAATCAACATGTAAAAAAGAAAGTATCCTATGTCGAAGCAACGGCAATTACACCAACTAATGTTGAACAAATGATTCATTCTTCGACGCCTGTTCATTCCAATCGACAACAGCAAAAATCATTCGAAAATGGTATTTCAAGATCAATAACACCTGCTCATAATGTTGTTACAGTTGAAAAATCTTCCAAATCTCCAATTAATTCTAATTCAAGACCAATTACACCAGGTACGGCACCTATTACATCTGTATCTTCATTCGTAAATATAAATGGTAAGATAAATTTTCCGGAAGAATTTCTAAAACGTGACACACGTAATTCGACATATCATTCAAGTTCAATTAATCATTGGAAAAGAAAAGAAATACTTGATTTTTTATATGATTCTAATCTTAATTTAATGATGCCAATATGTGAATCAATGACAGGTTGTGCATTAATACGATTCTTTCGAATGTGTCAAGAAAAGCCTAGCCGTCTTTATAGTCAAATAAATCATGAATTACGTTGTCGTTTTCAAGATGTAACTTTACCAATGGGTATTTATACACGATTTCTAACTGAAATAGACAATTTACTTACTTCAGTATCTGTACCATCTACTGTATTATCTCATACATCTCGTTCATCATTAAAGCCTATTCAACAACAATTATATATGCCTAATAGAGCTCGATCACAACCATCACCAATGCAACCCAGTTCTATATCATCAACACGTTCTTCAGTAACTCCTAATCGGATGCAAAATTTTACACCAATTGGAACACTCTTAGAATCAACAATACCTCATACTACACGAGCTACGGGACGTACTATTTTTCGACCGCCATCTACTTGCGGTCAACCATATAATTTTATTGTTGAATCTGCTGAAGATTCAACTAAATTACTACAAGAATTTGAGCGTTATGGACATCAATTACTTCTACTTCATGACAAAGCATGTGAACATTTTTAAATGAACAGTGTTCACCAGGAATAGACATGTTATTTTTTTTTATTAGTTCTTAGTTTTAATATATATATACAGACAAAAAAAGGATGGCTATTGATGAAGCGATTGTTTTTTCGTGTCAAAAATATTTTTGAAAAAACAAATGCTAGATTTTCTGAATCAGCATAAAATTTTGAGTTAGTTGAAGAGCATTTTTCGCCGATCTTTTTGCATCCATCGAAAAAAAAAGCTTTTTTTCTGATTCCTTCAAATCATATATCATCAAAGGTAGGACATTGCGCTGATCCTGACGAGGGAGGGTCACCAACTGATCAATCGCTTTTGAGTCGGAACTATGTGCATAATATAGGTCATAATGAGCTATGAATACCGTGAAAAGAGTTCGGGCGGATAGCTTCTTACTGCTGAGATATAGCATTTTTACTATATTTTTCAGAAAAAGCTGTGGTCCCCCTCAGGAACATCAGAAAAAGTGAGTTTTGAGTTTCCGTCTGAAACTTTGCATGTAGATAGGCCTCAATGAGAATAGTTTATTGTGAATGTCTCAGATTTTTTGGTTGCTCCTAGTCTGAGATAAGAACATCGGATCCGCTGGTGTATATGAGCAATTTTACAACAACTGTATCTTAGGATAGGAACAACAAAAAGAGCTGAAACTTTCGCAATAAAGTATTTTCATCGAGGTCTATATCCATGCAAAGTTTGAAGTCGAAATTCGAAATTCAGTTTTCCAAGTGTTCCTGAGGGGGATCACAGCTCTTTTTTCTTAAACATACAGTAAAAAGGCAGTATCTCAGCAGTAATAAGCTATCCGCCCGATCTCTTTTCACGGTATTCATAGCTCATTAGGACCTATATGATGCACATAGTTCCGGCTCAAAAGCGATTGATCAGTTGGTGACCCTCCCTCGTGAGTATGATGTTAATCATTAAAGGCAAAGAAGTTTCTATCGAGAAAAAATCTATTCTATTTAGGATGCTGATAGACAGTCATTATCAGTTACAGTCGTGAGACCATCTAACAGTAGAGCCCATTGGGCCCGATCCGGATCCGGATCCGAGTCCAAAAAATTTTACCGATCAGATCCGGTTCCAACAAATTTTAATCGGTCGGATTCGGGTTCCAAAATTCTTGGATCCAATGGGCTCTAGCTATTGGTCCTATTAGAAAGTTTAAAATAGACTTCGTCTTATGCGAAATAGTGTTTTCATTCAGAGTAATGCGAAAGAAAGTGATTCAAAATCGATTTTTTGAATAGCTTTAAGGCAAAATACTCGAAAAATCAGCATGTTTGAGACTTTTAACGTAATTTTATAGGGTAATGAAATCTTAAGGCAACGAACTGTATACAGAGCTCGTCGCAGTTTATTATGTTCTATTTTGATTATGGAATCCAAGCAAGTTTTCGTACAATCTATCAAGAAATATAGAATTTTCTTTCGTTCAGCGTAAGAGATTACATCTGAGTAAATCCATTTCAAACTAATGCCTATCTCTGGATAGATTGGAGAAGAACTTGACAAAAATTTTAGAAATAGGCTTTGAGACATACTAAGAACGGAACTTAGAACTAGTAAGCATCTAGGATAGGCTTTTTCAAGGGTAGCTGGTGACCTGTTCTACGACTTCTTGCCTTACGATTTCATTACCCTATAAAATTACGTTAAAGTCTCAAAAAAGCTGTTTTTTCGAGTATTTTGCCTTAAAGCTATTCAAAAAATCGATTTTGAATCACTTTCTTTTACATTACTCTGAATGAAAACACTATTTCGCATAAGACGAAGTCTATTCTAAACTTTCTAATAGGACTAATAGCTAGAGCCCATCGGATCCAAGAATTTTAGGATTCGAGTCCAACCGATTAAAATTTGTTGGATTCGGATCCGGTTACTCAAAATTTTGGATTCGAACCTGATTGATTAATCTTTTGTGGGAAGAGTCCATCGGATCCAAAAATTTCTAAACTCAGACTCGGATCCATTGAACTCTACTGATAGGTCGCTTGACGATTGTAACTGATAATGACTCTCTATTAGCATCCTAAATAGAATAGGTTTTTTCTCGATAGAAATTTCTTTGTCTTCAAGTGTTAACATCATACTCAGAATCAGCGTCAAATTCTACCTTTGATAGTATATGATTTGATAGAATCAGAAAAAAGCTTTTTTTCAATGAGTGCAAAACGATAGGCAAAAAAAAAGTACCTCATCTAGCTCAGAATTTTATGTTGATTCAGAAAATATTTAACACGAAAAAAATGGTCTTATTGATATTCAACATTTAGAAAAAAACAATCTGTTTATTTTTATATTTCAAGAGAATATTATGGTCATTTAGTACAAACAATATTTCAATGCATAGCTTATCATTCAAAGTACTCCACAGAATCACTATCGACAGTGTTGAAACGACTATCAAAATTATATTATTGACTTAATTAATTGTGCCAAATCCAATCAAAGCGAATATATTAGTTTTAAATGGGCAATACTTTCAGTTTAGCTTATGTGAACAGAGATTAAGCAGTTAAACATATAATCATGCGTATGAAAATTACAATTCTCCAATGTACTATAAAAAATTTTTACACTTCTTCAGTGTCACTTTGAGAAGTTAAAAATTTTTGTTAATCGAAAAATCATATCACAATTATTTTAGTATTGATTATTAGTATCGCATGCACACACACATATATCTATATATATATATATATATTAATTAAGTAATGAAACAAGTTCATGAAATCCACTTTCTTCTAAATAACGTTTAAGTCGATTTTTAGTAGCTAATGAACCTTCTTGTTCACGCCACATATGAAGTAATTCTAACATCTATAACAAAGAAATTTCGATTATTTTCTTTTTTGTTTTCATAAAAAAAAAGTAATATTTACTGTTGCAGATGAATCATTATTATTTTTTATTTTATATGCTTCAATATCATATTCAAGAAAACCAAGTGCAAGTGCTAATTTCGACCAATTTTTATACGATACTTGACTTGCTATTTGTCTTAATTGTTCATCATTAACAAGATCATAATTACCATAATCATTTATATTACGTATATTTGTTGATGATGCTGGAAGTGATGGTAATGCATTTGCTTCATCAAGTAAATGTGTTGGTATAATATTAAATTTAAGAATATCTTCAAGTTCATTTGGTGGTATAGATCGTTGGACAGCATCAACGAATTGTTGCATATTTAATTTACCTAGAGAAATTTTCTTTATTTAATATTTTTTTATATTATAAATTTACTTTGTTCTTTAGCTCCTAATTGTTGCATAAATTGATGTGATAATGCTTTAATTTCATCCTTTAAATATAAAAGATAAAAATCCAAAGTTTCTTTTTCCTCTTTTTTTATTTGTTTTTTGGTTAATTGAATGATATACATACATCTTTAGAATCAAGATAAACATGTTTTAAAAGTTTACTTATCATCTGCGAATCAATTGGTTCACCATTATTAAGATAATGATATACAGCTGCTAGTTTTTGTGGAATGGTAGCTGCATCAAGCCATTGCATTACGACTATAAAATAACCAAATGGAATACTGTTTGGATCTGATTTAGATCGAGGAAAATGTCTCATAAGCTAGAATGAAAAAATATAAAATAAATATTACTATTGATCATATAAAAATATTACTATTAAAGGGTATGGATCTCTTCCTATATTCAGTCACACGCACACCCTTAATAATAGTTTCACAAGAGGCTAATATGTACTCTACTGAAATGAAGATCGTTGAAATTTGATAACGTGACTATCCGATAATATTCTGAATATCATACCTACAGTATGAAAAAATGTTTGAATATTATGTGTATTAATACTAATTGTTCAGTAACACTTGAATCAAGACTATGACTATTATGTAGATCCAAATGAGCTATAAACATCCTGAAAAGATTTCGTGTCCTTAGTTTGTTGTTAAGGAGATACTGCACATTTATGGTAATTTCTCAATAAATGCTGTGATCCTCCTGAGAAACACCAGAAAAATTGATTTGAGAGTTTTGACTTGAAACTTTGTATAAAGATAGTTCTTAACGAGAATAGGTTTTCCATGAATGTTTCAAGTCTTGTTGCTCTTTCTGTTTTAAGACAGAACTATGGTAATAGTGTGACTTTTCCATCGCTGTTGTAAACCAGCAGATTTGCTGTTCTTGTTTTAAGACAGAAGTAAATCAAAAGACTTTAAAATTTTACAATAAACTACTCTCGTTAAGACTTGTCTCTATGCAAGGTTTTAAGTCAAAATTCGAAAATAAGTTTTTCTGGTGTTCCTGAGGAGGGACCACGGCATTTATTTACAAAATACTGTAAGAGTGCAGTATCTCCCCAGCTATAGAACAAGAGCATGGAGTCTTTTCAGAATATTCATAACTCATTTGAGTCTACACAATGCTCATAGTCTCGACTTAAAAGCGGTTGAACGGTTGCAGAGTTTTCTTCAATAGTAATCATAGTGATGCGTCAAGGTAATAGCTAACTTAAGTTAGGAATTAACGAGATAATCTCTCCAGATGTCAAGTCACTTTTCGACTGAGCTAGACTTTTCTATTACTCACCAAAGGAACATCGTCTCAGTCGAAAAGCAATTTGATACCTGTAGAAGTTTCCTGGTAAGCTGGTAACAAAATGAGTTAGTGTCTAAGTTTGCAACTAAGGAAAAGACCGAGTTGCAATTCATAATACACATATCATAATTGAATAGCCATTCTTTCTATACGATATATATCGAAAAAAACAAACGAACAGGATAATTACTGATATAGATCATTAAAAGGAATTCAGCAATCTCGTTTTCGACGAACATGTACACAACACTTCAAAGAAAGTGACTGTTAGTTGTTTCTCAATGTCATATGTTTTTTTTTATCATGCTCACCAATGAATGTTAATAGAAAGATCATAAATACTCTATCATATTAATCGTTGAAAACTGAAGAAAAACTCCTATTCTAATTCTTAATGATTAAGAACTATGTGTTTTAAATTATTTAATAAACACTTTCTAAACTTACATTTTTAACAAAAACATCATTAGATATTTCATTTGGTACTGCAGAATTATCAGGATATAAACGAGTTTGATCTCTTGAACCTGTTAATTGTTTAAAACGATTCCATAAACGTTCAACTTCTACAACTGCAAGTCCAGTTGCATCTGCATGACTAGTTAACCAATCACCACGATTTGGTGACATATTTGACAAATGATCTGTTTCAGCAATAGGAAGAGTATTAAAAACAGTTCCCATTAGTATTATTTATCTTTTAATAAATTGTCGAATGCTACCATGATTATGTTTATATCCTTATCAATACATAAAACAAGACTCGATTCAAGTATATATATTAATTAATAAAATATTCTCATTTAAAAAAAAAGAGAAATTATTCAAATAATGATATTTTATAAAATAAAAGATTTCTTTTTATTTATTAAATAATGTAATAGAGGGAAGCACAATCTATATATCGAACACATCATCATTGCATTTAATCTCCATCTATCTATTCAGTTTACTATTGTTCGTTTGATAGAGAATAACTAGTTTAATGGTTTATTAGTATTTTGAATAAATGATCGAATCCTAATGATACCAATCAATGATGAATAATCATAGAATTATTGATTAAATATATTTATGATAAATTTTGTTTCAGCTTTGTCTGAGATTGGTTTCTGTTGTTTGCTTTATTATATTCATGAAACTGTATTTGACGTTGTTTGTATGATAACATTTTTTCTTAATAACTTATGTTTTCATTGTGCATGTATTACCAGTGAATCTTATTCATCATCATCAAATTGTTTTATCAGTTTGTAGTGGTGATACATCGAAATATATATATATATATATATGATGATTTTCGTGAAGTAAATTGATGATTCAATAGAAAAAAAAGATGCACATATAAATAAAAATGATTATTTTACATCACAACGAGAATTTCATGTTGATAAAGAAGATGGTTCACTAATATTATTTTATTGTTTAATGGATAAATGATTTGATGAAATATATACTGAACAAGATATTTTAATAAATTTTTACTTTTGATTTGAAAATTTAGATAATCCACCTGGTTATGACTGTACACGATCAGTTGAAATATGTATTAAAAAATTTTGAAATAGAGAAATTAGAAGAAGTTTATATAACTGCGCATGACTTATATGTATTTATAAAGTAAAAAAAAAAAAAGAAGGAAATTGTAGTCAATAAAAAATATTTATTGGTTAAATATATTTATCTTCGTTGTATTGTTTTATTGTGTATATTTGTTTTTCTTCAATAAAGCTTTCATAGCTTATTCTATTTGTTAAGTATTCGAGTAAAGTTTTTCATTGAAAGCTTAAGGAAATGAAATTGAGATTTCAATACATTTGATAATAATGATAAAAATTTATCGTTTTGTATTGTATCGGAGGCGAACTAAGGAATGATTAGATTTATCCATTGTTCTAAAACATTTCAAAGTCTTCCTCGAAATTTGAATAGTCAAAATAAGTTTATGAATATTCTAAGTAGGACAGTTTTTGATTTTTTGCACAAATAAAAACTTATATTCAAGATGTCAATGATAATGGGATGTAATGCATTGATTTGCCATAATCGCCATAAAAAGCATGAACTGATCAAGTTATAACTTTAGGAAATAATCACTATCAATATTTCTGAATTTAACAAGATATATAATAGTGTGATAATAACGCTAAATTAAGAAAAATGAAATAAAAAGATAAAAAAAACAACGAGCAACTAGCAACAAGACAAACAAAAGCTAGAATGTCAGTAACTTGTCAGTGTGGTCCCAAGAGGAGCTCAGGTGTAGAATTTGTAAACTCTGACTATTATAGATTTATGGTATATTGTTAGAGAGGTTACAATAGTTTATTTTAAAAAGCATTAAACAAATGAATAAATCAAAATTATAACAATTTTTATAGTTGATTTGCGCGCTTTGAAATTTTATTTTTTTCAAAAATATTTGTATTTCGAATTACTACTATTCCACCAATTTATTAGATGTATTTAACATTGTTATACTGAAAAAACTTATTCGTATTGCTAAATATATCTTCAATATACATAACTGATTTTCTTCGCATTAAACTTTATTAGAATTAAAAGTAGTTGGTTATTCTTATTCAGATATAACCTCTCTCTAATGAGGCCACTACTCTCGAGATGAAAAAAAATTAAAGAAAAAAAAGAAGTTTTTTGTGTTTTTGTAGAATTTTATTTATTGACTAGTTTCTGTGTGATTTTAACCACACGTCATCAGAATCTACAAAAAACTAACACGAAAAACTAATTTATAGAACAAAAAACAAAAACAATCTTATGGTCTGAAGGACCTATAAGACTGAAAAGCACATTAGATGGTCGAATGGACCTCTCTAATTGTACATGACAAAAACGAACAACAAAGAGAAAACGACGCCTTTGGTGAAACAGGTAGAATCTTGAACCGTAAATAACCATGTATTCCATTAACATCGATCGACGACCATTGTCTTAATTGATGATTGCGTTGTTTGTTATTGTTATCGCGATTGCACTTGCACCAAACATAGATACTATTCCGTAAAAGGAATACATATCTGTAAGCAAGAGAAGTGTTCTAAAATCAATTAGAGCTACTATGTCGGAGAAGTGTTCTATTAGAACCTCTGTCTCAGAGAAATGCACTAATTCGATTAGAACTCCTATCTGTGAGAAGTGTTCTATGTATATTAGAACTCCTATCTGTGAGAGGTGTGATAAATAGAATAGAAACCCTGCCTCAGAGAAGTGTTCTAAATAGAACACCTATCTCAGAGAAGTGTTCT